GACAGGCTGGAGAGGTGGGCCTGTGAGAACCTCGTGAAGTTCAACAAGGCCAAGTGCAAGGTCCTGCACATGGGTTGGGGCAATTCCAAGCTCAAGTACAGGCTGGGCATAAGGAGGACATGGAACATTTGGAGTGGGAGGAGGCCACGGAGATGATCCGAGGGCTGGAGCACCTCTGCTCTGGAGACAGGCTGGGAGAGTTGGGGCTGTTCAGCCTGGAGGAGAGAAGGCTCCGGGATGATCTTATTGCAGCCTTCCAGTACGTGAAGGGGCTACAAGAAACCTGGAGAGGGACTTTTTACAAGGCCTTTAGTGATAGGACAAGGGGCAATGGCTTTAAACTGAAAGAGGGGACCTGAGCTGTCAAAGGCTGAGAAGTTACAGCACGGAGATAGTCACATGGTAGCGATTTTGTGGTGGACTGCAGCCAGGCTTTTTAGATTTTGCCGAATAGCCCATTTTAGTGGTGCATTGATCAATTTATTCCTACTTCAGATCGTGATCAGCAGCTCTGTCCTCATGTGTTCAGTGCTTTCTGTGCCTCAAGGAATGAAAATTGGGGAACAAGGGGAAAAAAAAAAGAGTAAATCGTTTTATGTAAAGGAAATATTAAGGCAAATTTACTAGTAAACACCTTTCTTCTTCCTCACCTTCCAGCTGTGTTGAAAGTTCCACTGAACCCCCCCCTTTTTTTTTCTGTAACTCTGAATATACAACTTAAGAAAGTGGATTCAAAGCTGTTGATGGAGAACAACAGTTATTCCAAGAGGAATATCACTGCAGCATTGAGATGTTTTTGTAAAGTTTAGGGCCTGTTTCTGCACGTTCAGTTCTGTTTTTTTCGTTTGTTTTTGTGAAGAATGCATTTCCTTATCTGAAAGGTCTCTTTTCTTCCTCAGGTAGTGGCTCCAATCCTTTCCAGCATTTGGAGAAGAGTGCTGTGCTTCAGGAGGTATGAGTAATCGTAGTGTAATATTGTGTAACATTTTTTGGTCAGTAACTCAGCAACGTGAAGACGTTTTACAGTGCGACTGTCGGGAAATGTGAGTGGCTAAATTCATGTAGGGGTGATTAGATCACATGTGGCTTCTGTGTAGGCATTTGAGATCTCGGGGTGCTCTTTTGGAAGCACCAAAAAAAAAAAAATCCTGCCTGTTTTTCTACACTCGTTCAACATACTGTGTAACGGGTTTTCCTGCATCTCTGTGCTCCAAGAATGATTGCAAATGGGGAGCTGAACATATGGTTAAATAATAGGGAATTTTGGTAGGTGCAAAGAGCTACAAGTAGGAACTTAATAATTTCAGTTTTATGTTCTACAGACTGGTGATAAGTAGTGTTTGGGTTACAGAAAGAATTAAGTTGTTGTGGTTTTGTTTTAAAGTATTTTTGCTAGTTCCAGATGGTAAACTGAGTCGTTGTCCTTTGTTCAGACTGCTGTCCATCCAGCAAACGAAATGTGCGTGAGCTGAACAACAAGAATATGTTCTGTGGGACATGTTTTTGAATTAAAAAAGCTATAAGCTACTTGGTTGAAAACAAATTGCTTTATTTTTTATGATGAAAGAGAAATTACTGTTGTTGGGTTACGCTGTAATGCAGTATTTCTGCTGTGTTTGTAGGCACGTATCTTTAATGAGACCCCTATAAATCCACGAAGAT